ATCAAGAATCGGGAGACATCCTATCCACACAGAAAAGATGACAAACTATCACTTTACTGTGGAAATGATATTACATACTCTTTATCTATTATTATTATTATTATTATTATTATTATTATTATTATTATTATACTACATTTATACCCCGCCCTTCTCACCCAATAGGAGACTCAGGGCAGCTTACAGACCATGGCATACAATTCCGCATTATATAATAATAAACATGACATATCAATTTAAACATACAATAATAAACATGCCATATCAATTGAACAATTCAAATATAAATTCAATAAAAAAGCTTAAAAGTAAACATTCAATCTCAACTGAAGTGGACTAATGGAATAAGCTGCCAGAAGTAGCTGGCTTTTGTTGTGAACCCAACCAAAGTCCAATATACCAATCAGTACACTACACTCCCTTTTTCCGGATCACTATTTTATTATTATCAGTCAATGCTAGTAAGTCACTGGATATTGGGTACTATGCTATGTCCTGCTGCTGCTGTGTGTAAAACAAAAAGGCAGGGAGAGGGGGAGATGTCTTAACAAATCTGCCTGCATTTTAAGATTCTCCTTGAGAACATTTCTAGAGGTTATTCTGATGAGTACCTGCCCTTCAAATTTATCACCATGGCACTCCATTAAATTGGTAGTTTTACAAATGTCCTGCAATTGTCTGCTGATGAACAGCTGCAGTCTGTATGAGGACACAGAACAGGGCTGTTGCATGCAGCAATCCCCATGTGCAAACTGATAGAGTGTCCTCAAATGCATCCCCAGATGACCCCAACAGTCCCCTATGGCTGTGTTCAGCAAGGGGAGATTAACACTAGTAGACAAGCTTTCTTTCAGTCAACATGTGTGTGCCATGTCTCATTGTTTCGTGGCCAATGAAGATGCTAAGCTTATGAAGAACCCCAATGATCCTGACAAGAGTTTGAAATGGCAACATGAATTCTTGGTCAGTTTACAAATCCTTGTGGGTGTTTGCAAGACAGGTGAAACAATGTGTTTCACCTGTCTTGCAAACAGAGAAAAGTTGCTATAGTGTTGAGGACCATATGGCCTTCCAATTGCTGAACTACATTTCCCATCAGCGATCACTATTGGCTAACTGGCTAGAGCTGATGGTAGCTGCAGGGATTATTATCTCACATATCTTTTAAAAAATAAGGATAATGAAATATAATTTATTTCAGCATTGCTCCTAGGGACAAGGAATTGTTTATTCTTTTCCTCACATACTATTCTGGATGGAAATGTAGGCCCTTGTCTCGCCCCTGTTGGTTGGAAAGCCATGAAAGAGATATTTTGATTGCCAAAATGACTGGTGGTTTTCTAATGGATTTCTTATCATCACATTAATCTAATGTTTACCTTATGAAAGATAATATTAAGACTATGTTTGAAGAGTTTGAGTTAAACTTTGTTTGTGGTGGTTTACAAGATCTTTTGAGGAAAAAAGGAGAAATACACCTAGCAGGAAAGTTAATACCAGACATAGTTTTTGTCAGGATGAGAATCTTTTCTTAACAACTAGAGTGGATTATATTCCATATTTGATTACTTTGGTTTCCTTTTTAAAATGTGATTCATTTAAGCATCTGACAACCCTATGCTAAGTTTATTTTAGATGAGAAAACAACTATCACAGTATGAAAGCTTTCATACTTGAAAGGATGCATATTTATCTAAATTGTTAAATCCAACATAATGCCTTCTGAATTGCTTTGCTGTGCTGAGGCATATAAATGGGTAGTTTCAGTGATTGGTCATTCCACTGTCTGGAAATCAGGAACCAAATTGGATACTTTGTTAAATATTTTGTTCTGTGGAGGAAAACTCTTCATTCAAATAAATATGTATTGAAACTCTTGAATAAATCAAACAATGAAGTGGACTTCCAAATTTTGAATGGTTTCCTTTCAAAATTCTTCAATATTTTCACTGGACATTCTCATACAAAAAGCATATTCCAAGGAAAAATCTGTCTTAAATGTAAATTTTGCAACTGATAAAAAAGGGATGTTTTGTCATTTTGTCAACGAGTAATCATTGTTAATGTTAACATTAAGAAATGTCTGAAGTTGGTAGACCAAGATGTTACTTATGCTTGGCAAACACAATGTGACACACAAGTGGTGGTGCATGTATTTGGCAACCTATGTGATAACAATTTTAGATATATCAAAAACCTTAGGAACATTATACCAGGCAAATATAAGACATCATCTTTAAAGTCCTTGTTGCATGATGCAGTTTTAAGTTGGCAATCTAAGGAGATCATTTATCACATAGGCCACATCAGCACCAAAAATGAAAAGATGATGGAGAAAAACAGACCTTTAGTGTTGGATCTCAGCTGTATGTCTGCAGTGAGCAATGCTTATTAACCTGGGAAAGAACTATACTCTGGCTGTGCTTACCTACAACAGGGAAGCTAAACAGCTGCATCCAGAATCATTTACTGTGTGAAAAACAAACATAAAGTAAAGGAGAAAGCAGAGTAGCCTGCCTTACCAGCTAGAATGATGAAAAGGCATAGATCTACCAATTTTGCCACCAAAATGGAGAATGTAAGGAATGTAGTGGCTGTTGGAGAATAAAATCATTCCAGGATCCATTTTGGAACCAGCATTCAAGAAATCTCTAGAAGAATTTAAATGTTATTTATTTTATTTATTTATTGTTTATGCTTACTTATGCAAGGCTTACCTGATCTGGTTGTATTATTTTGTATATATATGAAAAGTTGAGTGCAACATGTTAGACTGCTCTTCATAGTTTCTATCACTGAAATGAAGCCCAGGAACAATCTACTTCGTTGACTGAGTATTCCATCCTGCCATATAACCTGTATTCCATCACACCACATAAACCAAAAATGTTGACAAAGCAATTTCTGAAATGTTTAAAATGCAACAATACTTGTAGATAGGACACAAGAAGTTTCCTTTATCCAAAATGTTTGAGGCCAGATGTTTTTTGGATTTTGGATTTATTTTTTCTTTATTTTGGAATGCTTACATTTGCATATACAAAGTTCATCAGAAAAAAAGAAATGAAGGCTGGTCATATGCTCAGCACCCAGTGAGATTTTCCTCAAGCATCCTTCCCTGCACTGCTGTCAGAAATTTCACAAAAAAAGGAAAAGAGGGAAAAGAGGGGGAGAAATCTGCTTACACAAGACCCCAGTAAAAGCAGATATCCCGAATGCTTTTCTAGCTATCGGCACACTTTCCATTTTTTAGTAAAGTGGCTGGAGAGGGAGGTGCTCCCAGTTATCCCCCATAGATCTTTTCCATTCTCTCTGGCCCAGAAATAGGTGCTGGCCAATGGGTCCCTCTGCACTTTCCATCACAGTCCATTTCTAGGGCATCTGTAGCCATTGGCCAGGACAAATCTAAAACAGTTGCTTTTTTACAGGAGCCTTGTATAAGATGGAGGTCCATAGACAGGGGTCAGTGGGGCAATCCGTGGGGCAGTGGGAGAAGCCATTGAGCAGCACTCCGCATTGCCCCCTTACCATCACGTGGTATTTCCCATCTGCCCCCGGCTTCATCCGACATTGTCCCAGCTTCTTGAACGAGAACAAGGGTCGTCACTCATGTTCTCAGGGCAGCCTCTGAACACCCCATCAGGATGGAGCCTTTCCAGAAGTAGCCCTGGGCTCCATCAGGCTCTGTCCTGGCTACATCCTGGCTACGTCCCGGCAACACCCTAGAATGGGGAAAAGCCCCATATGGTGAGGTCATAATTGGTGCCACAATCATTGAGAGTACTTTGCTTGTTGTGGCGCCCTTCCTTTGGAATTTACTGGCTTATGGTGCTTGCTCTCCACTTGCTCCCATGTGTTGGGTGTCATGTGAAGAATATTATTATTATTATTATTATTATTATTATTATTTAAAATAAGACATTTAAAATCATGTTTGAAACTGGTTTCATTCTGCTGCTTTGGTGGTGGTGTGTTTGAAGACATTGTGTGATTCTGCTGCTTTTAATATTTGATATATAATTTTCTACACATATGAGATGGTCTATAAGAATCTTATGCAAGATAAATTTCTGGCACTGCAAGCAAGATTTTGTTAAGTTTCTAAAAATGTAGCAACATCACAAAAACGCACTGTCTGAAAATAATTTCTGCATTGGTTTAATTAACTTTTTAGGGATGGATGGGGTAACTAATTAATTGTTAAAAGCATTAGCAAGCCTGCCAATTAAAATCAAATACGCATAAGCTGCAATGTCTCCACAATAAATGAACCCCTCCATTCATCCTAATTACCTGCCTCTAGGAGTTGGTGCTCAGCACATAGAAGTGTTGTAAAGAATACATTGTCAACTGGAGGCTAAATTAATTGAGAACCCTCTAGTAGTCAGTATGCTTGCAAGCGATAATGCTGAAATTTAACACCGATTCTCTATGAAACAGGATCTCATTTTTTCAAGCACTGCATTTTAGGCCTGGAGAAATCCTTGCCTTTTGTTTCTCTAATACACCAACTTGCAATTTACTGAAATTGACTTTGATGCAAAAAGGACATGGGACATATTTGATAGTAAAGTCTCAGAGAACTTGAGTGATTTATATATTGAGGTAGGGGTGTCCTATAATCCCTTAAACAACCAAATGAGGTCATTATCACACTGACTGCAGGATCCTGGGAATTGGCCAAAACAAAGATCTCTAGAATTAGTGAAAGTAATTCCCATTAGTAACCCACTGATGGGTATTCAGTGACTTCTTTACCTCCCCCCTCCTCCCTTCCCACAGCTGAAGGAACAGACTAAATCAGGCAAAGAAATAAACATTAAAGTATCAAGTATGCAAGGTAAAACAAATCCTGTATTTATTTTGTGGTGGACACAGATCTTTGTATATATATATTTGTATGGTAAAATGTTTAGGATATCTCGTGTCTGAACATTGTTCCATAACAGACATTTTTGTGATCCTAGTTTTTAAAAACTTTTTTTCATTTTGCATTTCAGACTTATCAATGAATCTCTGAGGGATCAATTGCTTGTCACAATCCAGAAGACTTTCACCTACACCAGGACTCAGGCACAGCATCTCTTCATAATCCTCATGGAATGCATGAAGAAGAAGGAACTGGTATGCAAAACTATTCACGAGACACAAAACTAAGGGGGTGATGCTGTATTGGTCTGGTGCATAAGTAGTATTGTGACCTCAGTTTGCCTCACATATTCTCTCCTCTTCCTCCTTTCCAGATGTTATTCCTTGAATCTGCTTCACACAATCCATGCATCAAGCTAACTTAGATTAGGCTCAAATCAATAATTGGAAATATAGATCTTAAATGAGCTTACAAACTAGTTTTAGATAATGCCAGTATGGCTTGCCCTAATTTAGTATCAGTGCCAATGTAATGATAACACTATGTAACACTATTTTTGTTCCTGGGTTATAAATGTCATTTTCTAATTGGTTCTATCATAAAAGCATGAGAAAAGTTTATTAAATCAGAAAAACTTTGTTTTTGTGGGGCATCCTGCAGCACATTTCGTTATAGTTTTTCAATAAATACCTCAATGAGTCTCAACCAATTCAGCATAGTTTGTGGCAGCCACAAAAACAAAGTTTCTGGAGTATAACAGCTACTTTCAAAGTAAGTACCACACAATTAGAATAACACTTTCAAGCTAGGAACAGATTTTTTTTTAAAAAAATTACATAATACAATCTATGACTAGAGCAAGCCATATAAGTGGCAGGAAATCCATCCACAAGAGGAGGAAATCACACTTTAAAATGTTATGTCTGTGCTGGAGTCACAATCCAAAGAGACATTTTCCAAATAGTTTAATAATTTCTATATGCCTAAGCAGCTCTGAAAAATTCTGCTCACTTTGCAGTGCAACAATATGTTAAATGTACCAACAAACAGATTTTTTAAAAAAAATCAAATTGTTTACTCCTCTTTTTCAATATATTTAGAATAAATTTCTCTATGAAATGTTCATATTGCTGAAATCAGCTCAGGGCCAGCACGTTGTCTGTTCTTCCTGGTGAAGCACAATACATAATTACAGCTATTTGATACCTCTTTAACAACCGCTGTTTTATCCTACAGAATCTTGGAATTTGTAGTTTGATGAGACACTAAGCCAAAGAGCCAGCATTGTCCATAGACACCTCCAAGGTCATGTGACCGGCATGACTGCATGGAGCATCATTACCTTCCCGCCGAAGCAATAACTATTGATCTACTCACATTTGCATGTTTTTGAACTGCTAGGTTGGCAGAAGCTGGGGCTAACAGCAGGAGCTCATCCCGCTCCCAGGATTTGAACCACTGACATTTCAGTCAGCAAATTCAGCAGCTCAGTGGTTTAACCTGCTGCACCACTAGGGGCTCAAATATTAACAAGAAAGGAGCCTTAAAATGGAAGCTCTAGGAAATCCTATTTATCAACCATGCTGTTGTGACATGTCTATTTCTATCAGTGTCTATCTACTTAGGGATTGATAATGAAAGGCGAGCCAAGTGACAGGTAAGATAAACCTGAAAGTGGTTCAGGAAAAACTTCAGACTGGTCAAAAAGATATTGAGGGGTGACCTGACATGGAGTGTGACATTTTTTATTACAGGAAGCAACATAGCAGAAGGCATGGAAATGATAGTTGTGACCATAAAAGGTGGCATTTTTATAGCCAACATCATGTGATAATTTAACTCAGAGACTCCTGTAGTCCAATCCAGGTTGCAAGTTTAATTTGCAGGAATATCTTCTTCCTGCTAAAATGAATTTAACAGGTTTGGTTTGTTTGTTAAATGAGCAAGTAAGCATTTACTTAACAACAACAGGTATACAGTAATGCTCTGTATAAGAAAAAGAAGCGAAAGGAAGATGTACCAGAGAATTTACAACCACTGCCACGGTAAATGAGTTTAGCACTTTAAACAATACTTTCATACAGGCATCCTAATTAATTCAACCAGTTTGTTCTTACAGTGAACAAAAGTTGAAAGGTGAAAGCAAAGGTCTAAAGTAAATGCCTTTTAATCATATTTCAGCATGGATAAGTTTTTAGACTGTTGCAGAATTTCTTTTAAGGGATGACAGTAAGAAAGAGAAAGCTATCATAATTAACTTGGGAAGCTGCAGTATATGAAAGGTTGCTGATTATGTAACGTACTCATGATGAAAGCTGAAATGGTAAGAAAAGCAGCAGGATACAGTTTGAGTCACCAAAGCCACCATTAGTTAGTAAGTCCCAATAACCTTCTGCAATATTAGAGTCAATTTAAGATGATTAGATGCTTAATTTCTTTTTATCCACTCTTTTGAAAAGGTCCATTATAAAATTAATTGGTCAGGGCTCATAAAATGATACATAAGTGCCAATATGAAGAGGGGAGGGAGCTGCCTTTTCTGACAGCCATCAGCTTCCAATGATTCTGTCAAAGCAACCACTGAGTGACTAAAAGAAATATATTTCGTTTCAATAAATGGCCACAATACCAAAATACTATTAAGCAACTGTTGTAAGTGAGATTAAAAACCCAGAACTTCAAATCATCACAAGTTACTTGCTTGACATTTAGGAGTTTATCACGTAATAGATTTCTTGTCTGATTGCACTTGGTTAGCTCCTTATCCTAGGACATCATGACCCTCCCATGGTTAAATTGCATTTCTATCTCTATTGGATCTCATCTTTTCATTGGCAGGATGAACTTTTCAATGGCTCCAATATCGCTGCTGTTCAACTATTGTTTCTGATGTGACAATTTTATTCCACTACCATACACCTATTCCAGGAATCATGTGGTATGAATGGGCCTAGGTCTCTTCTTCTCTGTCTCTCGGCAGGGTGATGTCACTCTGTTCCCTGGGAATTATTGTATCTTTTAAAAATGGCTTTGTTATAAATGCAAAATTTTATTGCCCAGGGGAAGGGGATCAGCAGTATGCTGCAATTAGGCAAATTATTTGAAAAAATTGTAGTACAGTTCATTTACAAAACTGTACCATTTTGCAATTATGGCATAAAAATTAAAATTAAACAGTGAGCATGTACTATGCAAGGCAAACATGGATAGAATGGCAGGGTGCAGTGAAGTAGTGCAGAAGACTGATTGGAGGAACGTGTCTCACCAAAGCACTACCCTAGCACTATTGAAGAAAAGGTGTGAAACTGATTGTTTCCATACTGTTATGTTTCCATAACATGAACCAGGTCTGGCATGGGCTGGTCCATGAGGTCACGAAGAGTCGGAAGCAACTGAATGGATAAACAACAACATGTTCCCATTTGCTTAAATAACATAATTGCTGCAGGACAATGAGCTAGTGTGACAAAGCTGTTAGGTAAACATACCTAAGCACTCTCAAAATAAACATGACCAGACCTTAAGTAGTGGTTATGTGTTCTTTTTACTATAGTGCCAGTGGCTTTAGGAAGACTATTCTGCTATGTTAGTTATGGTCATATAAGGACGGGAATTTAGATGGCAGATGGGTGCAAACTACTGCTCCATGAAAGATGACTATTGAATCCCAGGAGCACATGTTCCATATTAAAGAAGCAAGGAAAAACGTTTAATTAGTTGTAGCTAAAAGGATACAAGAAAATCCCATCTCTGTTTGGAATGCATGATAGAAACAAAGCAGTCCCCCACCCCCTCTGCCTGCTAGCTTTTTATTTACTCTCTTTGCTGAGAATATCTAGTTGGTAGTGGTGTGTTTGCATTAGAATATTTTGATGGTAGAGATTTGTGTGGCCTTGTTACATAAACCCACTCCAAAATGAAAACGTGCTCACGGGTTCCTTTAGTTGTTCCAGGAATATAGCTATACTGATCAAGAAGACATGAGAAAAGGGACAAGAGACTTTTGTTTTATTTGTATTGATTTTTCTCATTTGACCCCAAGGTGTCTGAAACTCAAGGGCAAACTAAACATGATGTTAAATGTGTCACTTGGAAGCCTCTAGTAAATGTAGGGGAAATAGGTTATTGTAATTAACAGCAGCACAAGACAGGCTGAATTCCATTGGGATCTCCGCATGTAAGAAGGAAGGTATAATCCTTCCTACTCTAACCATAATCCAAAGGAAAAATCACCACTCCAGAGAGACGGACATGTGTCATAGTAAGTGGGACACTGAGAACTAATAACAAGAGGGAGTGACAAATGCTATTTTAATTGGGGTGGGCCACTGCTTCATGAATAATAATACAAAATAATAAACTGTATTAATATCCTGGCACCATCTCCTAAAAGGGACTCAGGGTGACTTACAAGCTACTCAGAGGTTCAGCATAACATAGCTGGTACATGAGAATAAAATAATATCACATAAAGTTATTTAAAAAAAAAACAACCACTATCAACACATAAAAAATAAGATAACACAATTTTAAAAACGCAGACCATCTGTAGTTAGAGCTAGCTGCCATCAATTCACAACTAAAGTACCAGAGTGTCAACCTCATGTAGGCCCATTCCAGCCTACTCGAGACCAAATGCCTGCTTAAAAATTCATGTTTTTAGGCTGGATCGAAAGGATTCAAGGGTGGGGGCTAACCTAATCTCTTTTTGGAGGGTATTCCAGAGCCAGGGAACCACCACAGAGAAGGTCCTCTCTCTCATCCCCACCAATTGCGCTCAAGACGGTGGTGGGGCCAAGAGAAGGGCCTCCCCTGCTGATCTCAAAGCCCGTGCCAATTCATAGAAAGAGATGCGGTCTCAAAGATAACTTGGACCTGAAGCGTATAGGTAATTACCTGCACTTTGAATTGAGCCTGAAAACTTGTCACAAATCAATGGTGCTGTTTTAGTAGGGGCATAGTATGTTCCCTATAGCTAGCCCCAGTTAGTAATCTGGCAACCGACCTTTGCATTAACTGTAGTTTCCGAACCATCTTCAAAGGCAGCCCCACATAGAGTGCATTACAGTAGACCATTCTGGATGTAACTAAGGCATAGACTACTGCGGCCAAATCAGGTTTTTCAAAGTATGGGTGCAGCTGGCGCACAAGTTTTAACTGTGTGAAGGTCCTATCAATCACTGCCAACACCTGAGCTTCAAGTGTTAACTATGAGTCCAGAAGGACACCTAAACTGCAGACCTGTGTCCTCATT